GTGTGTGTGTGTGTGTGTGTGTGTGAGAGAGAGTGTGTTGTGTGTGTGTGTGTGAGAGAGAGTGTTTGTGTGTGTTGTGTGTATGTGTGTGAGTGTATGTGAGTGTGTGTGTGTGTCATCTATTTTTGATTAATTATGAACTGTTTCTGGAGTCTGCACTAAAACAAGAGTCTCCTGATGTCGGTGGTGTGTTTTGCTGTCGAGCTCGGCTTCACCTCTCATTAGGGAACAGGTGCAGGGAGCGAGATCAGGTTCGTTAGGAGGATCGGGGGGACGAGGGGCATGTTTATCGCAGGATGACATGAGCGGAGCGCTAAACATACGCCATCGACCCGCGGGAGTGGATGAGGAGAGTTTGTTTGGTCTAGAAAGAACAGATACTCACCAAAGACTCCTGAGAAAAACACACCGAACACACAATGAGAAAAAAACACAACGAAAGCTTTGAGTGACAGCAGCGCAAACACACTTCATACAACACACATCAAACCGATTATATATCAGTACTATATATAATCATATACATCATATACATTAATCCTATGGATTAGATTTATGTATATATACATGTGCGTGTATAAGCGAGGGATCACATACAGCCAGCAAACAAACACTCTGCATGATCCCGCTTATTCCACGACTACTTACCAAATAAATCAACAAATGGAGATGAAATACTGATTTAAGTATAACTGATTTCACTGAGTGATACGAGCGAGGTGAAACTAGTTAAGGAGGAAATCAACGAACGCTTAGCATCATTATTCATATATATGAATCTGAATCAATCACAGCTCCAGAGAGATGCTTCAGAAACACCTGGATATATTTGTGTTATAATCAGAAACATACAGGGTGAATCCAGTCATTATGTGTATATTCTTCAGTTCTTACTCTCAATATCAGCATTAGATTTAAACTGAAGGGAATCCTGGTTTAAAAACAACACCAGCTGTAAATTTCGTGCCACTTCACCCATATTCACTCTAAATGAAGCTAGAAAAAGCACATGTTGAGAACCGACGCTTACAGTAGACACATGTCTGTCATGTGATTCAGAGTCGCGTACAGTCAAAGGGCCAGATTTACTGAACAGGGCCAATTAGAGTTAGATCGCAATTCCATAAAAGCGCAGATGGGAGGGATAATTCTGCGTGTGATTTACTGACTATGCGCACATTAAAGAACACAGACGCAGCAGATCATTTCCATAATCTACCAAAAACTCTGCTTTAACACATGCTTTTTTGGGCGTTAAATAATGGCGCAAACACCAGTAATTTGATGAGCGCAAACATTAGTAAATCACGTTTTGTGATTCATTTTAATAATCTCCTCCTATAAATTTTGCGACTAAAAGGGAAACTCCCACAAATGCATATTCAATAAGTTCAGGCGCAAAAATAACTGTCCATGCCTTTTCAGCGCTAATTCTTCACTGCGCGTCTTTAGTGCACTGCAAAAAATGATTTTCTTACTTAGTATGTTTGTCGTGCTCTCTAGATTAAATATCTAAACGTTCTTGAATCAAAATGCATTTACTTGACAAGCAATATGGCTTAAGATATTAAGTCTTGTTTTCTAAAAGAAATAATCTAAATTTTGTTTGTTTTTGCTTAAAACAAGCAAAAATATCTGCCAATGGGGTAAGAAAAGTTATCTTAATTCAAAGTCTGAACAAGATTATTTTTCTTGCCCCAATGGCAGATATTTTTGCTTGTTTTTTTAAGCAAAAACTAACTAAATTTTTTTATTTTTTTCAGAAAACGAGACATAATATCTGAAGTCATTTTACCTTTAAAGTAAATGCATCTTGATTCAAGACTGTTTAGATATTATACTAGAAAACAAGACAAAAATACTAAGAAAGAAAAGAATTTTTGCAGTGTAAATCCTGACTATTTTAATGCCAAAAGACGGTTTGCATTGGCGCAAGCTGTTAGTAAATCTGGCCCAAAGTCATCCAGTCAAACTCTTGTAGCTCACAGCTGTGGTTAAAATCTCAAAGTGAGTGGGTCTTTCTGCGTTCCCTGCTAATCTCAGTCTCCACATCGTTACTAGAGCCCTGACGTTCAGGAGGAGAGAAAGCCTCTGATGTACCTGATCGCAGCTGCTTGATTCGTCCTTGGCTGAGCGCCGGCTCCACCGGCAGAAAGTCCTTGAACCAGGAGATCTCTGGATCGGGAATCCCGCTGGCGGCACACAGCATGGTCGCGGTCCGTGTTCGCTCCACCACCTTCAGCTGCGGGCCCATGTCGATGCTGGGGAAGCCGAAGGGCAGCAGGTCCTCTGCAGGAGAGCGGAGCAAGCAGAGAAACAGAGCGTTCCTGCTGTGTTAATGTGTACCTCTTCAGATCCATTAAATACACACCACAAACTGTAATGATGAACATCTAGAAACAGTCAGAGTAAACAGCAGAAATACATTTACACAGGAGCGTTTCTATCTGGTTCATCAGGACCGGATCACAGGCCACCGTCAGAAAACTTCTCAATATTTTGATATTCTTGTTTTTTGCATATTGTTATATATACAATGGTGGCCAAAATGATAGAACGCTAGTATTCTCAGCAGCTAAAAATGGTTTTAAGTCAGTTATGTCTATCTTCTGCTGGAGTGTGTCAGTAGGAAATATCAGTTTTTGTCATTAATTGTAATAATGCAGTGAGATATTCATTTACATTTACATTTACATTTAGTCATTTAGCAGACGCTTTTATCCAAAGCGACTTACAATTGGGGGATACATAAAGCGATTCTTCTTAAAGAGGCAAACAGACACAGGAAGTGGTTGTAATACCAAGTTCTTAGACATTGTTCAAATAAGTACAAGCTAGAAAGAGAAGGAATAAATAAAGAGAGAGATTTCTTTATATATATGTTATATATATATAGATATATGTTAGTGCAGCACACAGAGATGTGATCTGATCATCATCAGTCTGTCTGGAGTCACATGAAGAAACAGAACAAACTGAGACAGACTCAATCCAGAAGAACTG